GTCACTCCTCTACTTGTAGCTCATTTTGCAAGCAAGTTTGATGCCTCCTTAATGCCTTGAAAATGCCTGCCGAATGCCTTGTTAACACTATAGGCGCGTTAATCAGCGTTGCTCTTTCATTACATTCTCAATGCACTTGAAAGAACCTTAAGTTTTCATTCACACCTAAGCGTGTGCAGTTTCCGTGCGTTCACTGCTTCAACCATTTAGAACGTGTGGCACCCACCTGGAAAATCGTGCACGTACCTTTTCTCGGATTGCACGTTTTTTCCCGTGCATACGAATGCGCAGGTGTGAATGTTTCACATTGGAATGCATTGAATTTTGTGTTTTCCTGCGGAAACGTGCAAAAAAACGCTCACGTGTGAACCAGGCCTTAGAGCGAGAAGATTCTGTGAGTACTAAAACTAGGGAAACTTGCAGCCTATGCAATAAATTAAATGGTTATGGGGTCCTATGCATGTGTGGTGGATAGACAGAAATTGGTTAGTCTGTTGTGAAAATTGTGAAGGTTAGTGAGAGGTTGCAAGTAGGTGAGTAGTTAGGGAGTCCCCAGCATGATTTAGTGATATAGTAACAGAACATCTTTTAATGGGCAATTAATATAATTTCACATAGTATATTATAATGGTGGACGGGTCAACAAATGCAAAACTGAGGGAGTAAAACTCTGCCTGTTGGGAACATAGACTAAGTGTGCATCCCCTATAAACTAATAAAAATGGGAAAAAAGATAGCTTAATAGCTTAAACAATATAAAGAAAATAATGCCCATCTTTCAGCAAGCAATTGAACATGCACCTTCTATGAGTATTTTGTTTATGAATCTATTGCAGAGTTTCTTACCTGCAGATCCTGCCAGTAACAGCACTTCCTGTTACAGGCTAACAGTGCTAAGCTGCTGCTTCGCAAATAGCAGCAGCGTTGTCAGCCACCCCTTTAGTTGGCCATTGGGATGCATATCAAGTCTATCAGATAGACAGCCCAACAGCCAAATGAGGAAGACTGACTATGCTACTGCTTAAAGTGCACTTGCTGGCAGGATCTCCAGGTAAGAATAAGGAAACTGTACACAGACCTGCTAAAAATAGATATTGGATTTACATAGACTTTGGGGTGTATTTATAAACTGTTCACACAGAAAACAGCTCTGCAAACAAGAACCACAGAGCATTATATATCTCAAGCCAAAGCAATATTTGTATTTTTGGGTAGAGAAGAATTAGAACCTTTGTCAGTTCTTACCTCTCTGTGCAGCCCTAGGAGGGAAGAGTTTCCTTCACTTCCTGTACCAGTGGCAACATTGTCACCAGGGCTGAAAATGAGGGAAAATCTCTAAGAGGGGCACAGACTGTAATAACTACATTTATTGCTAGTAAAGTAGGTGAAATCTAGAAACCCCATCAGCTCTGTCACCATTGGAGATAATTACTTTTTCAGTAAATCAGTGGGGCAGAAAGGAAGGGGGAAATCTCAATGACGCCTTAATAAGCAGTAAAAACTTGACAAAGGTTCTATCTCTTCCATACATTTTCCAAAACGAAAAAAAGGGAATTTTGTCTGAAGTTATGCTGTAAAATTAGGGAGCAAAATAAATCCTTGATAACAAAGTAAAAAAAAGTAATAATAAATAAAGCCTCAATAAAAATTACCACTAATTGTAATGGGTTAAGTTATTTTCTGTCTTGTCTATTGGGTGTCAGGTTATACTGCTACATACAGGAGAATTGGACAATGGCAAACAAACGTTATGGGCCAGCCCAGGATAACCCATCCTACAACCAGCATGCTTCATTTATTTGCTAGTGTCCTAGAAGACTGTACATTTTTTCTTTAGCTTTGCTGGGGAAACACTAACCTACTTTTTGCCAGCACTTTTTCTTTTCAATCAATACATCACTACTGGAGCTGGTCTGTATGACAGCACCTATACAAAGCAGCCCTCTTAAGGCTGGCTTTGGAGTGTCATATTCCAGATTTTGCAGGGGGTTAACCTGGAACTTTGATATTCGTTTTTTTCTGCTACCGGGATACAGTGAATTGGTCACCTCTGAACCTTCGCCTGCTACCAGTAGTTTGGTTTTGTGAATATCTGAAACCTTGCCTTGTAGCCTGAGCTACGTTGCCTTACTGCTGCATGGTTGCAACATGTCTGATTCTAGACAAAGAGGCTTCCTCGTCTGGGATTTTTTAGAGCTCCTAAAGTAACAAGACTTTTCTGGTGCACCCACTGTTCTAGATGTTTATGGAGACTGGAAAAACCTAGACAACATTTTTCCTCCCCAAGCGCTAATTAGCCTTGTACCCATTTGAAGAAAACTTTGTTGAAAAGTGGTCTTCTCCCTCTGTATCTGACAGTTTCCCATCTTTCAAAGCGACCACCATCCAGATGGAAAATGCACCTATTTTCAAGGGCCTCACCGATAAGTGGCTGGAGGCTGTTGTGGTTAATCCCTTAGTCATATAATACTTGGAGCAAGTGGCTGTAGCCCTCTGCTACAGTGCTGATGGGCTGCTAGAGGTTTCTCTTCTCATTTCCGGCATGACCCACTTGTCAGTTCATGTGCAGAGAACACTTTGCTATAGTGTTGGACTGAGGAACATGCATTTAAGAAACACTTTCTCTTCGGGTCTACTTTTGATGCCATCATCAAGGATGCCAAAGGTGGCAAGAACATCCATCTGCCTTAGCCAGAAAAGCCTACAGCTTAATACACGGAGTCTCACCTTTTGCTGGAGGTTAAGGAGAGTCCTTTTCATTACTCCACAACAGCAAACTCCAAGTCCAGACCCAAGCCTTGCTCTTAGGTTACCTGCAAGGCCTGGAATTTCAATACTTTAATGCCAGCAGACAACTCCTCTTTAGCATGAAGGTGTTCCCTAATTTTCAAAAGTGTGTGTGTGTGTGAGGGGGTTAGCCTTTGTGGATACCTAGACAGCCTGCCTCTAGATGCTAGGGTCCGGCTTTTGGTTTCTAGGGGCTACAAACTAGAGTTTCACTTGGTTCATCACTTCCAACCTCCCTGTGTCACTTCACAGATTAGCAAATCTCCAGACCTCCCTAGTGGATTTTCTGCACCAGAGTGTCATTTTCCCAGTCCCTGAAGGAGAACAATTTTAGAGGTTTTAATCCATTCTGTTCCATTCCCAATTAGGGTATATGGTCCCATCCTGGACTTAAAGGCTCTAAATGTCTTCATTTGAGACCAGAAATTCTGTATGGAATCCAGCAGGTCTGTCATCTTCTCCCTCCACCAGGGAAATTTCCTGGTGTCTATGGACATCAAGGGTGTGTACCTACATGTCCCTGACTTTCCAGTGCACCAGTGATTTCTACACTTTGCTATGGAGTCTCTTCAGTATCAGTTTGTAACTTTTCCATTCAGCTTCTTTTCTGCACCTCAGGTATTTACCAGTGTTCTGGTACCAGTACTAGCTTTACTGTGGTCTTGGGGCATTCCCATTGTGGGATACATACTTAGGGAACAGTCAGCATAGGCAGACAATGCAGCCCTGACAGGTCAGACTTTGCTGGGGTTTGGCTGGATCCTGAAATTCAAAAAATAAGCAAAGTAATTAATTTATTGGTCACCATCTTGTCTTAATATAGAATTTGATCTGAATTGTTTTATCTCTAATGCCTGAGGATGATTATGTATTATTTATTTGAGTGATTGTTTTTAATGTAGTATCTGATCATATTTGTTCTTAATATTGATTCATTGATCATATATTTACTCTAGTTGCTGTATTATTTAGTTTAGCCTCTGTGTCATTATAGAAATTGTGTGCCTCCACCTGCTTCCGAGTCGTCAATTGCATGGATCGTTATCTCCTTCATTGCGATCTGATGCTCTGTATTTTTGACCACTTTTCATTAGGGCTCCTCTATTGGTTATTCTAATTAAAGGGGGTGTGGGATTTTGTACTTAAATGGAGACCTTGAAGTCAGTGACTACAGATCCCTGATGAAGTTACGTGAGACGTAACGCGCGTAGTGTGGGCAGAGTCACTGACGTCACTTTCGTTATCCGGCCGGAAGGACGGGAGATCGTCCTCGTTCGTGCAGTATTGAGTTGCAACATTGATTGTACTTCTCTACACTGTTTTATTTTGACTCAATCCATGTGAGTACATTTTTAAAGATTAAAGTTTTATTATTTATCTGGACGATACGCACTGTTTTTATTGCTTATCTCTTTCTGGATGGATATAACTGTGAACTGGTCCGGTCTATATGCCTAAAGGGTGTCCCTCCCCGCCAAGAAGGGAACAGTTTTGTATGACCTATATTGGTCATCATCTCAGGTGAGCACCCACCTGTGCACCATTTTATCATGTGTGGATTGGAGCATTTGTTTGATGTGTGGTACGCAAAAGTTTGGATAGAAGATCACTATTATCACTGCTATCACTTTCACCATTCCATTAGTTTTTCATGATCTCAATTTAACACTCTTGCTGCTTCAAAGACTTTCCTTTAAAACCTATCAGGAATATTCTTCTTTCCACGCTTACCCATAAGCTGGTGTTTCTTATAGCCACCACCTCCACAAGGCTTGTGCTAGTGCTGATGGCCTTATTATTTGGTGAACCTTTTCTGGTCTTGCAAAAGACCAAGAAGCTTAATCAGAACATTATTCTTCCGTCTCCCTGTATAGCTACAGTTCATCAGAAGGAAGATTTTTTCTATTGTCAATCCTCCTGAAGATGGCAGTATAATCTAACAGTTAGTGACTTCCTGTTTCCTTCATTGGACTTCAAGAAAATTATTTTACGGTAAGTATAACATTCCTATTTTCTGCAACTTTTTGGTAAGAAGTTGTTTTAGAATGGGCTGGCCTATACAGGTGTCTCTGTCTTTTTTAAATTCCATAGCTGCTAAAGATGTCTTCAGGGCTCACCCCAAGTACTCTCTTGAGTAATGGGGGCCTACATCTATGTCATGATCGCTCATTGAATAAACTTTTTCTAATAACATTTGGCGTGTTTAATTTCAGGAACAGATAGCCGAATAATATCACAGTTTGGAGTGGACATCCAAGAACTGGTGGCTCTTTCAGAATCTGTATTTCTGGAGGCTGTAAGGAATGTCATGGATGGAAAGGTGCTCTATAAACATATAGAGAGTATTCTAAAGCACAAGGAGCAGTTTGTAGCCATTTGTAAACTGAGTAAGTTCTTTAAAACTAGACAAAATGTTGTATACTTCATTTGACTAGCTAAAGACAGTGAAGATAATTTATCAAAACTGGAGCAGACAGAATCTGGAGCAGTTGCCCATGGCAACCAATCAGCATCTCTCTTCAGTTTGCTCAGGTAAGATTTAAAAATAAGAGAGAAAAGCTGTTTGGCTGCAGTGCAAATCTGCTCCAGATTTTGTCTGCTCTAGTTTGGTAAATTCACCCCAGTGTGTTTATGATGGATCGGTGTTGTCTGCTTTTCTTTTGTAGAAACCGAAAAAAACGAGAAACCCTTGTTGAATGAAATAAATCAAGTGTTGACGTGGTGGAAGGCTGGAATAGACAAACTACGAATAGAGCGTGAATGGGTGAACAGTCTTCTCAAAATGATCGATAGTGTTGATAAGTACATAAAAGGTATTCAATCCCGATTTACTTTACATTACTTTTTTAGCCTGTAATACAATATCCTGGTTTTCACCTAAGCTCTCAGTTTGTCTTCATTATATCAGCAGTGGAGAAGATTATCTTTTCAACTTCATATAGTACAATTAGTACAAAAATGAAGCTGTTTCATATAATGACCACTCCTTGTTTTATTAACTAAATAATTAAAGCTGAAGCATCACTGTTTATTATCTTCCCTAATAATATTTGTTTTCCTAATAGAAGCCTGACTACAGTCCAAATTTGTGCATTACAAGGGAGACTCAGGCATTTCCCTTTGGCGTTAAACTGTACTGGCCCTCCCCACCTCCTGGCCTGAGATGGCCAGACTGCTGCACTGGGGTAGTTCAGGAACAAGCAAATGCTTTAGACAGTGAAGCTCCTAACTCTGCCTCTTAAAGTGCCTATTTACTGAGTAGATAGATACTATATAAAACACTAAATGCATGTAATCCTCAAATAAGTATACCCAAGAAATTAATTATGAGAATTTGCAGCTTTTTTTCATTTTTTTCAAAACAATGTTTGCTTAGAATAGATTTCAGGTACTATCACAATGATTCTAGTTGTCACAAACAATGTGGGGTTGCCTGGTGATTTTTTTTAAAATTATTGTTAGGAATGCAAATTACTATGTTCTACACTGTAGAAACAAAAAACCAAAAGGGCGCAACACTAGGTGGGCTAACTGACCGGGTCGGAAGACCCAGGGAAGGTGACAGGGAAAATTATGTGACAATGGGTGCAAAAAGCGAAAAACCAATGGATAGCTGAGGAAAAGGAATGGGCACTTACATTTTAATTCATGGGACCAGCGGATGGACGGCCGGTGTGAAGGATCGGGTCATCCGTGGTGTCTATCTGGAACTGGTGTGCCGGAGGATGTGCATCCACACGGGGAGAGGAGGCTGTGGGCGAGGGAGAAAAGGGGAGGGGGAAGAGAAACCACAAGACTGGGGACTCAGTCCGTGGCCCGCTGTGTGAGTCCTGTGTGAGTCCAGAGTTGTGTGGGAGAGAATCAGCGGTGTCAGAAGCAGGCAGAACTGCTGTGGCCGCGGCTGTGGATCGTGATGCTCGGTCACTGTCGGCGCAGACTGGGGCAGTGTGTGGGAGCCGTGGGCTGAAAGTTGTCAGCTGTCAGTCGGGTCTGTGATGGGAAGAGGGGAGTAGCGGGGGGGGAGGGCAGTGGGCAACGCGTTTCGAGGAGTGATACCTCTTTTTCAAGCTCGAGAAGGAACTCAAGCTTGAAAAAGAGGTATCACCCCCCCTATTCTCCCTCGCCCACAGCCTCCTCTCTCCGTGTGGATGCACATCCTCCGGCACACCAGCTCCAGATAGACACCACGGATGACCCGATCCTTCACACCGGCCATCCATCCGCTGGTCCCATGAATTAAAATGTAAGTGCCCATTCCTTTTCCTCAGCTATCCATTGGTTTTTCGCCTTTTGCACCCATTGTCACATAATTTTCCCTGTCACCTTCCCTGGGTCTTCCGACCCGGTCAGTTAGCCCACCTAGTGTTGCGCCCTTTTGGTTTTTTGTTTCTAGTTTGCATATCCACAGGCACTCCTCCTGTGTTTCAGGGCTGCACACTTCTTAGGGTCACTAATTGTTTACCCCCTCAATACCATTACAAGAGTGCTGTTTGTACGATTTGTGTTTATGTTCTACACTGTAAAGCTTTATATAATTTGCTCATGGCAGACGCACCTGTGAAAACTGAAATATGAATTCAGCCATTGTTGACCTCTTTTAAAGATGCAAGCTTCAGGACTGTTATCTTTATACTAGTTCCACTACCTAGCCAATTACTGTTCAGAATAAGTATGTTGCTAGTGAAGTTGGGATTCCTGACCTGAAAACTTTATTTTCATGTCAGAGACAACATAAGGGTCATAGGTACACACCTTACACATTTTAAAGTCAGCAGAGGCATTTACTATATTTTTATAGTGACATATTTCCAACAACAGTTTACATTTTACTGTAATATAATAATGTTTTTTTTCCAAGTGAATGTTTCTGAAATTCATGCAAAGCATTTACAAGAACTGGGATCACAAAAGCTAATGGATATATTACCTGTAAAGACTCCTAATTCACCTGATGAATTTATTGGACATGCCTTGTCTTATTATAACCTCAGTGCTCCTTCCATGACCATGGCTGAACACCTGAACACTTTCAGGACTAGCCATGTCTTTACCACTTGTTGGGAGAGACAAGCCAATGCTGTTGCTGAGAGTTCTCATAGTGAGTCCTCTAATGAGAGTGAAGATGACACTGAGTACACAGTTGAGGAAATAGTCGATGAACTCTTCAATCCATGTTTGGAAAATTGCAAGAAGATTTATAATGACCTTAAATCTGGACAAGTCACCTTTGAAGTTGTGGACAAGTTTTTAGCAGATTTCAAAGACAATTATAAAAATCTGGAAAAAGAACTTGAAATCTTGTGTGGCTTGGGAGTCCGAGATAATAAAACATGGATCTCGAAACGTGTGAGTCAGATTGAAGAGTACCATGAACTTGATGTAGCCTTTCGTTCTGCAGAGGTTATATTTGAAGTAAAAAGTTCTTTCAATCTGGATGGGGACTTCCAAACGTTAGAAACTCTGCTCCAATTTGTAAGTAAGACAGTATAAATCCATATATTTTTTACTAAAATTGATGGTAAATTAGTAAGCATTATGTCCATATTGTGGTGATAAAGGTAAAGCCTGACAGTATGTCTATGAATGAACACCTGTAAACGTAAAGGCCCCATTCACACTGGATGTGGAGTGAACAGGGCACATATAGAAGTATTGTTTTCTATGTGCCCTTGTGTTAAGACTGTGTTGATCTATGCTGATCGATGTAGCTCAACGGCATTGGTAAAGACGAGCCCTAAAGAAGTTTGTACAGTATTAGGCTTGTAGAGTAATTGTGTCCTAACAATTATGTCATAATATATATTATGATGGCCATTATTATTGCTACTATACAACTCTTTGTTTTCTTTTTTTTTCTTCTTTTTTTTCTACTGACTTCTTTTGCTTGCTGTAGTGGTGGAAAGGGTGGCAAGGCTTAGAATTTACACTGAGGTTCTGAGATATGAGATGCTGTAAAAAGACTAACAGGAGAAGTGAACAATCTAGGACAGGGGTCCTCAAACTTTTTAAACATGGAGCCAGTTCACTGTCCCTCAGACATTGCTGGGGGCCGGATCATAGTTTGAAAAACAGGGGGGGCGTTGCTGTGGTGCCGCACCCTCCCGTCCCAGAACAAAGGGAGAACGTTAGTGAGCAATTGCTGTGCGTTCCAACAGCTGCTGCTCTGGTGTGAATAAGCCCTTACTTAGAGGGTATATATACATATTTTTAGCAACTTCTTTAATAAACAAAACATTTTTTTAATACAATTCATTTCTCTTAGCCTGGAACATGTACTAGCACGATTTGTTATTATTTTCTACAGCTCAAGTATTTGTTATTTATTAAATTTTTTTACATTATGTTAGGAAACATTTATAATCACCCAGTTTTTTGGTAAAACATAAAAGACCGGGTCACGTCGGGTAAATAGACACCAAACATGTCAAGCTTAAAAATTGCGCGCATTCGCAAAATCGCAAAACACCACCATACCCAAAATTGACCATAGGCGACGCTTTAAAAACTTTTACAGCTCATCAGTTTAGTGTTATCAGTGATTGATGGCCCTAGAATTATAGCTCACACTGCAATGTTCGCGGCGATATGTAACATGTGCGGCGTAATGGGCACAATCATCGCTTTCGCAGGTATGCGCACCCGACGCATGTTTGCATGCGTGTATGTATGGGTGGGGACTTTAAAAATGTGTAACTTTGAAACAAAAATTACAGCTGCTGCTCTGGTGTGAATAAGCCCTTACTTAGAGGGTATATATACATATTTTTAGCAACTTCTTTAATAAACAAAACATTTTTTTAATACAATTCATTTCTCTTAGCCTGGAACATGTACTAGCACGATTTGTTATTATTTTCTACAGCTCAAGTATTTGTTATTTATTAAATTTTTTTACATTATGTTAGGAAACATTTATAATCACCCAGTTTTTTGGTAAAACATAAAAGACCGGGTCACGTCGGGTAAATAGACACCAAACATGTCAAGCTTAAAAATTGCGCGCATTCGCAAAATCGCAAAACACCACCATACCCAAAATTGACCATAGGCGACGCTTTAAAAACTTTTACAGCTCATCAGTTTAGTGTTATCAGTGATTGATGGCCCTAGAATTATAGCTCACACTGCAATGTTCGCGGCGATATGTAACATGTGCGGCGTAATGGGCACAATCATCGCTTTCGCAGGTATGCGCACCCGACGCATGTTTGCATGCGTGTATGTATGGGTGGGGACTTTAAAAATGTGTAACTTTGAAACAAAAATTAAATTAACTTTATTGCTATTACATATGGGGCTAAGAAACCCCCCTATGTGATAGCAAAAGATGTGACAGGTCCTCTTTATGGAGACATCAGGGGTCTCCAAGACCCCTAATGTCACCTAGGCCCCCCGAAGAAGCTGATGAAGCAGAGATCTGCTTCATCAGCTTCTCTCCAGCGTCTGAAGCTGGAGTGACACAAGAATGCGGAAGTGATCTAATATACATCACTTCCGCATTCTTACAGCAGAGAGGGGACCGGAGGGAGGTCTTGTACCGACCTCCCTCTGATCCCCTGTGACAGAGGCACTATGCTGTTCTTGGGCTCAGCGGAGCCCGGGATCAGCGTGACAACGGGAGGGGGGACACGGGCCGACCGCCCATACAAGCGATCCGCCGGCTCTATAGCCGGCGGATCGCTTGTATGTTAACAGGCATCGCTGCCTGTTTTTGAATTGCGGCCATTTCCCGCTGGGCTCGCGAGAGAAAGTGAGTTGAATTGGAGAATTTTTCCAAATCAGCTATTTTTGCCTAGATTGTTCACTTCTCCTGCCTTCTCCAAACTCTTCGCCCTTTTGTGAATAGCCCTGTAAATGTTTTATCTTCCTGCAGAATCAGCTGGTCCGTTGAACACTGACCGTGATCTCCTGTTTAGGGTGGCTCCTTTAGCCACTCTTTTGTGTGCTAGTAAGCTGTGTGTATCTCCACAAACACATGGGTATGACAAGGCGAGCCACTCCCCTGCTTTCTGCTCCTCACTTATCCCTTCTTTAAGCTAACAGACATGGGGTTATGAATTAAAATTCAAGGAATGTCCGGTGAGCAAAATATTCATTGAGCCGAGGTCTGAATCACAGTCCGGACAGAAAGGCATTTAGGCTGCATTCACACAAGCAGTTGCACTGCAATGCACAGCTGCTGGTGTCTTTCCTCAGACACAGTGCTGATGCACTAATCCCAGCACATCACACTTTTTAAACATTTTTGTTAGAAGCTTTTTGAAATGTCACAAGTGATTTTTCATTGGTTCTATGGGCACAGCGCAGTGAGATGTGGTGCTACCATAACTAGGGCGGCTTCACTGAAAAAAAGTACAGCATCCATCAGAGTGCCCCCTTACATCAGTTGTCCCCATGAGAGTGCCCCCTTACATCAGTTGTCCCCATCTGAGTGCCCCGTTACATCAGTTGTCCCCATCTGAGTGCCCCCTTACATCGGTTGTCCCCATCAGAGTGCCCCCTTACATCAGTTCTCTCCATCAGAGTACCTCCGTTACATTTATTCTCCACATTAGAGTGCCCCTTACATTTGTTGTCCCCAACAGAGAGCCCCCTTACATTAGGTGTCCCAATGAGAGTGCCCCCTTACATTAGAAGTCCCCAAAGGCATGCCCCCTTATATTAGTTGCCACCATCAGAGTGTCTCCTTTCATTAGTTGCCACCATCAGAGTGCCCTGTTACATTTGACAGCCAACACTCCAATGGGGACAAATAATTAGTTGTCCCCATGAGAGTGCCTCCTTACATTGGTAATTCCCATCAGAGTGCCCCCTTACTTTCATAATTAATGTAATGGGGCACTCTGATGGGGACACCCAATGTAAGGGGGCACTCTGTTGTGAGCAACTAATGTAAGGGGGCACTCTGCTACCATGCAATGAACCTACCATGTGTTACAGTGCAGAAGGTGCATTGCCATTCATTTGAATGACACCCTAAACACACCTCCTGGCAGCAATGCGTTCGACTGCACAGCAATGGCTGGGAGGAGCTGGGAGGTGGGTCAGGCTGCGGGATGCAGGGTAGGATGGAAGACGGTACTCTTCCGCCCTCCCTAATGCTGGGTTGGGAACACAGATTACATCATTGGTTGCTAAGAATGCCAGGGTCCTAGCAACCAATGACTGAGAAGGACATGTACTAAGTTCTAAGTACAGGTCCTGTACTAAGGACCTGTACTAAGTTATGGCTGGCTGTCAGCCATAACCTAGCACAGGTCGGTGATTGCAGTCCAGATCGAACCACTATTCGGTGCGTGTCCATTTAGGGACCACCTTTTAGAGACCAGTGTAGTAGATGGACAGCTGTCACAGACTGCTCTGTCCCTTGTGATCTTGTACTGGATAGGAAGTTCAGGGAAGCTTAGAGTTGTTGGCAGCTGTTTGATAACATGATTGTAGGTGATCGGGGAAAAACGTAAATACATAATTTGCTGGGCAATGTATATTTGTTTGATCTGAATTCAATATTGAAAAAAATGTTTAATACTACTTTAATGTTAAAAGTGAATTCCCTGTGCTGCTGCCACCTCTTCCCCTTTCCCTGACTGAACTCTTTGTAATGTACTGACTATGCAGACAGCTCTCCTGCTACCTGTTCTTAAAGCGGACCTTTACACTCAAAAATCAAATTCTACCAATGCATCCCTCTATGTATGATGATTAGTAATAACATAGACATGCCAGGTGTAAAATCCTGTGATTATGAAATACTTACACTTGCAGAGCATTCACATCCTGCTTTGAAAGGGAAAAATGACTTCAGTTTGCCAAAGCAAAGCACACTGGGATTGCCTTGTCATCAGCAAAGCATTGCTGGAAAATCTCATCTGTAATCTCAGGAGATCAGGAGGGAAAGGCATTTTCCTGCCCAGAGATGATGTGCATGGTACATGTCTAGTCACATGTGCTAGAAACCCAGGAAGTAAAAGGAGAGGTAGTAATCTGCCCTTAGCAATCATGAACACAGTCAGAAGACTGGGGAAGAAAATGGAAATAAGCAAAGAATACAAAGCTGGCAGTTATCTAGATCAGTGCTCCCCAACCTTTTTATCGCCGGTCAACGTTTGGTAATTTTACCGCGGCCCGCTGAGGGGGAAAGTTTTTACAATGAACCGCAGTAAAGTCTGTGACACGGAGCTGGGCAGAGCAGAGTCGTGAGCGCTGCTTCGCCTGCGGCCCGGTACCATTTGATCCACGGACCGGTACCGGGCCGCGGCCCGGGGGTTGGGGACCACTGATCTAGATTATTTGTTTGAAGATTGTCATTACTAAGCATTTCTAAAGCTGTGTTTGTTGTTATTTTAAAGATATGGGTAAAGTTCCTCTTTAATTTAGACATGTATGTTAGGATAAATGACAGTAAGAAGGTCGCTGAGAGGTCCCATCACAATTTTGATTTTTAGTTAAGTTCCTAATGAAAGCATATCTAATGACAAATTATATCTCCTTGCAACCCTGCCCACCCTGCTCTTTTCATTTTGCAGAAACCACTGTACCAGTACCTCACAACAGCTTGCCATTTGACCATACAGTATGCTTAGCTGATCTGAATTATGATTGTCTTTTGCAGCATTTGGTCATGTAGCCACCTGCTGTGGCTACGGGAACGCAAGGCACATCAATGCCTGCTGTCCGAGCAAAATGTTGCAAGCACTATTTTGCTCCGACCGGACTGCAGGCATTGATGTGCCTTGCGTTCCTGTGCGGCCGATCGCATTGCGGCTGGAAGGTGTGGCTACCGTGCCATTCACTTCAATGGACCGCCACACCCCTCCTGCCCCACAACATAGTGAGCCAGCCGCAATGCGATGCAGTGCGTTCCGGACAGAATCGTGCCAGAACGCACTGTGTCTGGTGTGAACGAGGCCTAAACTCAGGACTCTGCACTGCAATGGACTCAGGACTCTGCAATGCACCCAGGACTCTGCAATGCAATGGACACTACAAAACAGAATTTTTTTACCCATAAGTCTATATTATTTGTAGAAAGCATATGTTGAAAATGTAATGTACCATGCAGCAAGATTTCAGGGACATGCAATGTAAATACAATACCAATTTTACTAATTGAACCATGTACTGGTACATTTGTTCTGAACCACTTGTTAAATCATACCATAAGATAGATTTAAATGAAAAGTCTTGCATGATTTATCAAGTAGCATAGAACAAATGTAGCACTATGTGGTTACAGTCGTAACATTGAAGAAGTGTGCAGTGGCATGCAATGTAAATGCAATACTGATTTTACTAATATAGCCATGTATTGGTACATTTGTTCTATACTACTTGATAAATCATACAATAAGACTTTTCATTTAAATCTTATGGTATGATTCACATGTAGTACAGAACATGGATATATTAGGAAAATCTGTATTGCAATTACACAGCATATCACCAAACACATGGACTGAATATACTTTGCAGGAAGTGTTTAGTGAAATGCCTGAAAATGCATCACAATCCAGGTTGTTCCTTCCCAGTTCTGCTCCCAGACAGTACATGGACAGTACATGTGTGCAAGTGCTAAAATGTACTGTTCATGTACAGCTAAAGACAGATAAGTGCAAATAAAGATAATAAATGATGTTAAGTATTTTTTTTCTTTTCAGAATAATCTCTAAAGTTGTGCTGTCTGGCTGTACTCTCCCCCTCCTTCTCCTTCGTGAGTGCCGAATCTCTGTGACAGGCATCGGGGGAGGAGATCACAGCAGGAGACACACACACACTGATGGCCAGTGACTTCACACAGGATGGCTACTGCAGAGAATGAATGGCGGTTCTGTCGCCCCCACGGGCGCTGCTGCAGCTCTTTCTCTGTCTGCGGCTGTGGGCGAAAAGGACAGCTGTTGTGGGACCCTGTAAATTATGGGGCCCAGGGCAGCTGCCGCTTTTGCCCCGCGGTAAAGACGGCCCTGATTAGTATATGAAACGTGAATTGCAGTAATGCCTTTTCTAATGCAATACATAGATGTAAATTGGCCCCTAGAGATTACCGTCTTCTGCAGTTATGTATGTTAGATACCTTCATCATTGTTTTTAACATTAAGAGATTCTATCTAACTTAACTCTTAAACTTAAAATGGCAGTATGCACCGTTTCAAGCTCGCTCCCGTGATGGACACAATAAATTAGTTTAGTTTACTAATTTATTAAAGTTATAGTCTAACACTGGAGCAGTGCCTACTTTACAACACACAGGGACCAAGGGGAACAAAAGTAGCCCCCCTCCAGAAGGAAGGACAGTGTCAGCACAAATTCAGAGATGATTTGAGGATCTACAGCTGAGTGTTACACATAACAAGTTATTCCTTTTAAATAGTTAAGGTCCATGAATGCAGTTTTAAGATTTAACTCCTGAGTTTAGTGTTACTTTAAACGAAGTCGCCTGATCCCTGGCCATACCCCTAACCTAATATAACCCCTAAAGAAAATCCCCAAACTAATCTCTCGTATTGTATGCTCATCTCCTCCTTTGCAGTATGCAAACCTTACACTTGTGCTGGAAGCTCTGTATCAAAGAAATACTAAGTTGTCAGTCCCAAAAACTATTGATCTGTAACAGCCAGACATCTAGAATCCTAGATTTAAAAGACAGAATCTAGATTTAAAGTACAGCTCTACACCTAGAAAGTGTTGTATAAATGCTTCGGTATCTTCAGGTACATCTGGTGAAAAAGAGATGCAGGAACAAATGTTAGGTACCAGTAGTCATTCTAACAAGGACTTTCAACCAGAACATCAGGCAATTCTTGTTTATTCTTAGGATTAAAAAAAAAAAAAAGATACAGGATTTAAAATTTGTATTGCATTTTATTCTTTGTGTAAAACAACTTAAAAAAAGTTGCACATATACTTGTGCTTTTTATGCTTATAAATACACATAGAGCACTAGATACACAGTTTGACTGAGCTATCAACACATTTTGCACTGAGATTAAACTTCTGAAATCCTGAAGATATATAGAAAGCTGGTGGATGATTTAACCTATCATCCACTATATCATCCACTATAAAATCCACTATAAACTGAAATATCATAAGGTGAAGTTACCCATCAGTATAATTACTTGCTGTTTTTTTAACTTTTTCTTTGCAGGCGGATGAGTTTGAGAACTATAAGCAAAAGTCTCTATCTTGTATAAGTACAGAAGTAATGAAAACCAAAAAACTGTTGTCGAAAGTTAATGAAAATCACATTGCATGTCTTAAGGAGGTCTTGAAAAGAAGAGATTTTATTGTCTGGGTCAAAGAAGCATTGACAGGTATGTCTCATAACATTGTAATGGTTCCATGTTGACTGCAAGAAAAATGGCTTCCCAAAGGGTTCTTCACAGTAAGATCAGTTAGGGTCTGGAACTCACTGCCACAGACAGTGATTTCAGCAAAGAATGTGGAATTGTTCAAGAAACTTTTGGACGATTTCTTAAGGGACCGTAATATACAGGGGTACAGGTACTCCTAGAATGAGATCCTAATAGGTTGGACTTGATGGACTAATGTCTTTATTCAACCTCAAATACTATGTAACTATGTAACTATGTAACTTCTGTTCCCTTGGTTACTATTGCACACTAACCTGCTGATTGCATAATAAAGGAGCAGCAACCTATTGATATGGTGATCCTTTTGCTTTTCCCTCCTGTAAAAGAGTTCTCAAGCATGTGATTGACAGAAATTTTCATTGCAGTAAAGTCTTAGCAGTGTTGGCATTCCTGCTTGTATTCTGTGTCCTGGTGTCCAGAGAAAAGCTTGTAAGAAAGTTTTCAAGTTATTCTGAAAATAAAATATCTTTGGCAGTTATTTGGGTGCAGCTATTTCAGTCAATTACACTAAATAACTGTATAGCATGTGAAGTCAGAATTCCTGATCTCCATACTTGTTCTGGGTAGCTGTACTGTATTTAAAAAAAGCCAGAGGAACAGTAAATCATCCAGGCAGCCATCAAGAAAAGGCAAAAATGTAATAGATTTCCATGAAATTTGAAATCAGGTCTTCGTTGGAGTGGATGCTCTGTAGTTTGATGTGTGAACTAGTTCTTCCCACAGTATTAGGTCTTGGATCACATTTAGGCCTCTTTCACACGGCCACACCGATCGGATCCGCCTGTCAGTTTTAGGCGTACCTGATTGGATGCCCAATGCAAATCTATGGGCAGCCATGTGGAAATGGACGGGTGTCCGTTTACACCCGGTTACCCAAACCTCCAGCTGGGTCCGGTAAAACGAACGGAACACTGTTCTGTTTCGCCGGACCACATTGTGCCGCTTCGGGGGTAATCTGATGTAAACGAACACATGTCCGTTTACATTTGATTCCCCGTAGACTGGCATGGGCTCCGGTAATTGCAGTTTTTCCCTACATCGCGAGGTGGAGGAAAAAATTGTACGGAAACGGATGTCACAGTGATGATATCTGCTCCATACTGCTGTGATCAGGAGAGGATCTGTGCATGGATCCTCCCCTGATCAGCCCATGAGAAAGGGGCCCTAAAATAATAAAACACAGCTGTGGTTTAAAATGTTTCAGTGCCTTGATGACTGTTGGATAAAATAAACATTTATAGCTATACGCTTTATCAAATGATTGTTCAAGAAGATCATTTGTTTCCCAAAACCTAGGCCTTTTTTTCTAGTGGAACTCCAGGGAAAACAAATGTGAACCCTTGCAATGGGTCACCTTCAACACTGTAAGGGTAAAATGCTCATTTCCTGGGGTAGAGGAATAAATACTTACCTTATTCTTCACACCCGCAGATTTCCATTCCTTAGTATAACTGGTTCCCGAAGCCATGTCTCTTCACTGCTTGACCAGTCATGGCCTATCCAACGTCATCACATACAATGCAAAACCAGTGGTACTGCATTGTATGTAAGGACATTTAGAGCCCTTCCCAGAATGTCAGAGATGGGGGAAGAGTGCTACTACAAGCATTTAACCTTTGCAGTAAGGAGGAGAACCCACTGCAGCATTAACGTTTCTTTTCCCTGGAGTTCTCTTTTAAGTTAAAACAGTTGTACATGTTGCAAAATGAAGAAATCAAAGAATCCTAAAAATAATAAACTGACACTGAAAAAAATAAATCATCATAGTAGTAATCTTCATCAGTCACTGATGTCTCTCTTAAACCTTTTCCTCAGCGAGCCCTGACCAACTGAATTCAAGGTGTTCAATCCAAGCTTAATTTATTGCTCTGGCTGTACAGCCAATGAGAATTTTGAGAGTCCAGCCAATTCCTAGGAGACCAGGGACATGTTCCAGAGATGCCCGGATCCAGTAGCAACACTGCTTATAGTTCTGGGCTTACCTACAGGGTTACCTACAGGGTTGCAGTGAGATAAGCAGAGTTGTAAGTACAATTACTGTGCTTTAAAGGTGACCTGTATATCTGTCAAGCAGATATAACTATCCCTACTCACATTCATTTCTTAACCATATTGATTTTTAAAGGCCAACAGAAGTCACAGAAATAGATATTCAGTAATCCAGACACTGCGCCAACAACCTCCATTCTCATAGTTTTACCCCCACTTTCTTGCAAAAGCAGTTTCATGGGTTCTCCTAATATGGCTTGACTGTGTAGTCTTACAGGCCCCAGAGTTTGACTGCAGTGTCAGTGCATTCTATAATCTAAAAGACCCGGTCAGATACATTCCTCACTTCTTCACCACTTCTTCTCCACCACTCTGTAAGAGGACATGTGATGAGAGGTGTGGCTGTTACTCACCTATGCCAGTATAGAATACTGCACTGGAAGAGAAGGAAGTGCATTTCCACTAAAAGAGAATCAGGGGAATTTATCAAAACTGGAGCAGCTGTGCATGGCAATCAATCAGCTTCTATATTTAATTTTCAAAGCTTAACTGAACAAACTGAAAAAGAAGCTGATTGGTTACTATGGACAACTGCTCAAGATTCTGTCCCAGTTTTGATAAATTCCCCTCAATGTATTTCAAGGCATTTTCATGTCAAAAAATGTAAATATCATAACATTTGGAGAAACAAAACTATAAGGAGAAGTGTGACATTTTCGTGGAGCTTTAAAATCGACATCTTCCATTAATATGTTTGTTTAATTTAAGCTAATGTATCTAAAAATAAAAAATGTTTTTGTAACAGATTAATATTTCTCATTCAGATGTCAATGAGCTGAAAGTGTTTGTTGACTTGGCCTCCATTTCTGCTGGAGAGAACGATATGGATGTGGACCGTGTTGCCTGTTTTCATGACGCAGTGCTGGGGTATTCACCATTGTTCTATGACCTGAAGCGTGAATTTGGGTTTGACAGCTTTATGCTTTGCCTGGAGAAATTATGGAAAGCCTTACAAAGTGACCCGAAACTTCCAGAAAAGTTGGTAGGTCAACTGAGCATATTTTATCACATTAAAGAGAATGTATATGTATATCAATGTTTCCTTAGATTTATACTAATTAGAGATTAGGGTGTAAATAACAGTATCAGTGTGCTAATGTTTTTAAAAACCCTGTTTCAGTGTATAGTTTGTAATTTTATGTATACAGGGGGGCAGCCATATTTGCACATTTACAAACAAACATAGGCCTTGCTTCCCAGTATGTAGTGCTACACCATTGTTGTGCTTTACTGCTGCTTTTCAACATGTGAGTCTATGATTCTGCTGACCCATGAAAACATGATGCATTTTCTATGTAGCCATTATCTTTTTGTTTTTTATTCTGCATTGATGCATAATGCATTGCTGTTTTTTTTCTTTTGCATAATGCATTGCTGGGTTTTTTAGTCCTTTATAGCCAGTTGCCATTCAGCATTGCTGTATGTATTGCTGGGATTTGTAGTCCTCTACAGCTGGTGGTATTCTGCATTGCTGTATAATGTATTGCTGTGATTTGTAGTCCTCTAGGTATGGCTCCTAGCCTCTAGATGGAGCGGAGGAAAGGGTCAGCAGCGACGGAACAGGGTGGGCAGCGGAGGCACGGGGTGGTAGCGGAGGCCGATACCGGCGGGGATTAAAAGAGACACAGGCGGCTGCAGCCAGCACCAGCAGGGAGGAGAACAGAGGAGCCCGCCGAGCGCCCCACAGTGCACTGTGCACCGCACAATGTATTGTCAGAACCCTGATTTAGCTAAGGCAATGCACCTGACCACAGGTCAGGTGCAAGACTTTGCCCAATCATAGCACAGTGCACTGTGAGAGCCATGATTGGGCAAAATAATGATGACTTTGCCCAATCATGGCTTATAGAGAAGTCCCAGCCCCATACTATATTAGGCTGCTTACATTGCAGTCTTATGTAGTGTGTTGCTGTAGATAAGCATAGTGTGTTGCTGTAAATGTAGTGTAGGGAAAGCTAACTGGTGTCAGTGTAGTGAAGTGTCAGTGCTTTATACAGCATTTTAGTGCTATATACAGTACTATGTACTGTATATAGTATTATTTTCTGTGCTGCATATTCACTGTTGTTTTTTTTTTGTTTGTGTCAGTGGCGTCCTTCTGCGTCACCGGTGTTCCCATTTTTTTTTCTTTTTACATTTTTTTCTCTTTCTTAATTCTTTCAAAAAAAATATTTTTACTTCTTTTTTTTCTCAGCAGCAGGTTCTTTTGCTGCATCATTGGTGTACCCCATACTGCGTCGCAGGTGTTCCTCCTTCTGTGCCACCCGTGTTCCCGTTTTTTTTTTCCATTTTCTTTTATTATTTTTACTGGGTTTTTTTCAGCAGCAGGTTCTTTTGCTGCCACATTGCTGTTTCCCCTTCTGTGTCACAGGTGTTCCCGTTTTTTTTCCATAATAAGCCACTGTACAACAGTTTATAGTGCACCAAGCACCAATTTCCCATCCCACATTCTCTAATAAAGTTTTGTAATAAGCCCCACATCATGTCTGAAAGGCCAACAAGGAGACATGTGTGTGACAAGTGCATATAATTTGATTTTTTTTCTCTTTTTTTTACAGCAGGGCCCATTCCTGCACTCATCAAGAGTAAAGCTGCCCATACACCTTGCGATCATCGGACAAAACTTTTCATCCGATTATCGAACCGTCGTACGATTTTCGTACGGTGGCCCCATCCTGCCCCAAATATCGCATGGTTCAATCAGCAGTAAATAAAATAAAGCACCTGGACGAATTGCGGTAATGGACCGCACGTTTTTTTTGTCTGCGCATGAGCAATGTAAATTGTAGGAATTTTGATGTTCGGAAACGCCACCAACCCTGCGAAAATTGTAAGTTCGATCAAAGTTTTCTAACCTGCTGGTTAGTCAAAAGTCGATCGATTGTATAGTATTTGCGGTTGTACACTGCCATCAACCTTACGAATATCGGACGAAAACGCGATCGCATACGAAAATCGACCGATATTCGCCGATGTATGGGCAGCTTAATTGTGAGGGGTTGCAGTGTAGGGGCACCAACACCAAAGGCCCATTTTTTCCACACCTGTGTGACGGGTATATATAATTGGAATTTTTAGAGCACGGTCCCAATCCTGCACTCGTCAAGAATAACGCTGAAGGGTTACGGTGTGAAGCCACCACCAACACTAAAGGCCCTATTTTAAAGCACCTGTTGTTACTTTCATCCAACGTCTGCAAAATACACACAGGAGTTTATACAAAGTCTCTAACCTTGTTCCGAGTGTCCTAAAATGTGGGCTCTTCATACAGGCTGCCTCCCCAAGCAGCTGTTTATAAGTTTAAGGGAAAACCAATTACCAGCAATTTAAATGTAATTTCTTTCTTTATAAATGTCAGTTTTGCTGCAGGTTCTATGCATCATACCGATGTCCCACTTTACAGGCATTTTAAGGGGACCCCCCAGGCACAATATTTAAGCGAATTTTTCATTTTTATTGTTTCACTTTAAGGGCTTGTTCACATGACGTCCAGATACGTGCGCTCATGCACCCAAAATGCATCCCAATGTATCCCATGTATGTGTTTTATGGGCTGCAATTCTCACGAGCGCAGTCAGTTCCGGTCAGAATGGACAGAAAAAATACTGCATGTCACATCTTGTCCAGTCCGAAAACGGTCTGGAAATGCAGGAACGTGTCAAACGCAACAAAAACGCAACAAAAAAGCACTGCACTGCAGCTAACATACTGACAGCCCCACTCCAACCAAAAAAAAAATAAAAAAATCCTGAAACACATGGAAAGTGCGTCAAAAATGCACTGCATGCATAACACTGCGTCTCCAGATCTGGACCAGAAAATCGTGTGAACAAGCCCTAATCAATGTTAAAATCACTGCTACTTTAAAAAACTGTATTTTTTTTAAAGTTGTTTTTTTTTTCATTGATACATGTCCCCCAGGGCAGTACCTGGATCCCCATATCCTTTTTTGGCCAATAACTTGCAAATAAGCCTTCAAAATGGGGACATTTGATTTTACGAGTTCAAATGGGGACATTTGATCTTACGAGTTCTTTCATTGAGTTCTAAGTACTTGTAAGAACCTTTACCCTGTTCTGAAGTTCTTGTTAGAACCGAACTCAGGTGTGTTCAGCCCATCACTACTGGTCATTAGGGTTGGGCTCGATGTTCGAGCCGAACGCGAGTTTGACTCAAACATCGGCTGTTCGTGCGGCGCCCTCACCTCACCCCGTCGTGGCCGCCGTTGGCTTCCCTGGTCACCACTGTCCCTGTGCGGCGCCCGGGACCGGCATGGCAGATCTCCCAGCAATGATCGGAGAGAGATTCAGCGGCTTCCAGCCTGATGTCTTCATAAAGAGGACCCGTCACACCCTATCTGCTATTACATAAGGGGCTTGTTATAAAAATTAAAGTAACATAAAAGAAAAATAAGAAAATGCAAAACAAACATTTTTTAAAGTACCCCACCCCCCACGTGCATGCACAATACACACGCAAACCCGTGTTGGTGCGTCTACGTGCAAAAACGACAATTACGCTACACATGTTACATAATGCGAACGTCGGAGTGAGTGTCAATCACTGTTAGCACTAAACTGATGAGCGGTAAAAGCATTTAAAATGTTCCCTATGGGAAATTTGGGTTATTGACTTTTTTGCGGCTTCACGGATGAACGCAAATTTAAGGCTTGGCATGTTTGGTGTCTTTTTACCTGGCGTGACCCCATCTTTTATATTTTAGCATAAAATTGGGTATTATATTATGTTTCTGTGCACTACATTTTAATTTAGTTGATTTTGTCCTAAAAATACTGGTTTGATAAACATTTGCGCAAAAACCGTGCAACATAAAAAATTGCAACCAGCATTTTTTTATTCTACATGGCCTCTGCTTTCAGAACATATATCATTGTTTGGGGGTCTGAAGCTGTTTTCTAGCCAAAAATTTATATTTTATCATGTGTGCGCAAATACAAAGATAATGCCCCAGACAGCAAGTAGTTAATTCCTTTCTCACATTGTCAATATTTTTTTCCTTCTGTCATATTCATCAATTCATTTTCATTTGGTGTATTCTATTGTTAGTTCCTGCTAAGTTCTGGTTTCTAGATAAGAGGACTGTATGACTCTGGAAGCCTGCATAGCAGTAATGCCACCAAGTGGTTATATTTAATTTCCTCTCCAATTGTACGTAGGTGTTCTACAATTTCCAGCATGACATACACATGTTCACACATTTCCTGGCCTTTTTCTAGCCTTATCTTTTACATCTTATATATCTTGCGTAGCAGATATAGTTTACTGTTTAGGTTTGAACACTCTACACTTTAGCTGTATTTTATTTTCTGATGTGGATAAGCTGGTCATTTTCCGCCAGCAGACTTATAATTGCTTTTGCTTGCCTGTTCTTCTTGTCCCATTCCTTCCGGTGGGTCCATTAGTGGGTCTGTGTGTGCTACTTGCCACAAGTCGTCTTTGCTTAGCAGCATTTCAAGCTTGAACTTCCATAGCTGGCACGTTGTATTATTGGCATTTAGAGATGAAATGCCATCAGTACATGTCATATATGCTGTTGCATTTCCAACAAATGTAAGTATAGCTGGTTTTCTTTTTTAGGTTTGTTTTTATTCATTGACACTTTTAACACATTCTATCTTTTTTTAATTGTATTTGATTTTAGAAAGACTCTGCTCGTCATATAGAATGGCTGAAGACTGTAAAAGAGAGTCATGGTTCAGTTGAACTGTCATCTCTGTCCCTGACAACAAGTATCAACAAAAAGGGGATCTATATCATCAGAGCACCCAAGGACAAGAAGAAGGTAATTCCTGTGAATTAAGGTTGTTTAGAGCCGTAATAAACTTGTTTAGCAGGAAATGCTGTTGGAGTGAGACCTTTACTTAGTCTTATGGTATAATGATCCTCCCAATGGCTTGTATGTACTGTAGTGACATATGAGCCTGCAAGGGGAACTTCTTATGGCAGGAGTAGTAGGTATTCCCACACTCGTATGGTGAATCGTGGAATACCTGCAGAGACAGCAGAGCAGTGAAGCACTAGTGTTTCAAGACACGGGCTGCCAGAGTGTTACGTATGCATGCTTCTTATTGCTCACCTTCTTTTATAAGTAAACCAGTGGTAAAAAAAGAACCTCCCATGCATCTTTAAATCATAAAACTGAAAGTCCTGTCAAGCAGCAGATACCAAGGGTTCCTGTTTTACCTTTTGTTATGCAGAAAACCTTCTACTGTGTTCCCCCAGATTTACTTTTACTTTGTTCCTAGGGTCCTTACTTCGATCAAGCTTGGAAGGGGCAATATTGAGGGCTTTATGTGCCGGCCCCCTCACTATAAAACAGCGGGTTCCCAGTAGCTATTTGTAAGTGTGTTTAGGAGTAACTTAGGGAGAGCTGACAGTCTGTGTAGGGAGAGTTAGTTGCTATACAGTGCTATAGGTGTGCTATATTGCACTAAAGTTCTGTGGATTGCAGTGTGTTGGGCTAGATGTTCTTGTGTACCCCCGTGTGTTCAAGCAACCTTTTGTTTGAACACACGGGACAAATCAGGAAGCCAGACGGCACATCATGACCTGCCTCCCGGCTTCCTGATTGGCTACGTAGCCGGCTTCACATGTTGCTAGGCAGCCTGGCTTCCTGACCAATCAGGAAGCCGGATGGCACATCATGACCCACCGCCTGGCTTTCTGATAATTCTGGCCCACGGATGCTGGTATCTGTATTCGGTATTCGGTATGGGCGAGTGCTAAAAAAAATATTAAATATTGTTACTCGTACTTGATACCGAAATTTTTTTAACAGTGCATCCCTAGTACTGAGAACAACAACGTGGGAGGATTTTGTCTAGGGGCAGGGACATCTTACAGAGCACTGGAGGGAACAGCTGTGCTAATCCATCTTGGGGCACTGTCCCATAAGTATAGGCCACTGTTATTTCCAGGGCCGGTCCACAGAGCACTGCACTGTGGTCCTTTCTAACTCATCTGCTGCTGACACAACCATTGCTGTCTGCAGCCTCTGCCTTTGGAGTATCAGCCGCTGTAAAAGTACTAGCCATTTTGGTACCACGTGCATGAGCAAACACATGACTTGTGTCACAGAGCTCGGTGGGAGCATCACCTGAATGAGACAGGTCAGCAGCACTCATCCTCCTCATTCACCATTTTCTGAATCTTCCCCTCTCCACAACATTTTCCTACTGCATCCATCACATCTGTGACCTCTAGTAACAAGTAGGGAAATCTCATGAGGGGTTTCAGAAGCAAAGCATACAACATGTCAAGTGAGGAAGAGGGTCATGGGACCACGCTTAGGAGCCTCAGACGAGGGCTTGAACCTCTGCACGATTCTCCTGCTACCCTGCTGTTTCCAACAGCATCTTCCTAAGCCGATTGTCTCTTCTGCAGCTGCTTGAGCGGAAGCAAAAAACAAAATGCCCCAAAATCACCCCCCAAGCCCAGTGCCTTAATGCCAACTTGGCAAAACTTCTGGCATAACAGCTGCTCCTATTGTTGTTCATGGAATCGGGCCCCCTTCTGTGAGTTTATGGCCAGTGCTATAGCACAGTGGTAGGTAGACATTGTTTCCTTCTCTGCTGCAGCATTTGGAATGAAATGTGTCTGTGTCACTGAACTATGCTGTCACTGCTAGGATACACATGACTGTGGATACTTGGGCCAGTGAGCATGGGCAGGGGCACTGCATATATTTCATAGCACACTGGGCCAGTTCTATGGTGGCTAGGAAGGATACAAGATGGGGCACACCACTGGCAGTGGTGCCACATGTCTTGTTGAATGATGATAGTGCAGTTACCTGTACCCCCTCCACCTCACTGGCCTTGTCCTACGTCTCTTTGGAAACAGAAGTACAGCAGCTCATATGCCTGGGGGAAAGGAGTCACACTGGGCCAGAGCTGCCAGCAGCTCTCCAGGCTCAGGTCAAGAGATGGCTGACCCTACGCAAGGACGTGTGTGACAACAGCACTAACCTGCTGGATGCCCTTCACCAGACAAGTGAAACATGTACCTTGCCTGGCACACGTTCTCAACTTGGTGAAACAGTCGCTCATCATGAAGTGTTCTAGCTTTCAGGAAGTCCTTTATCAGGTCAGACTGGTTTGGGCCACTAGCTAGTGCTTGCCTGGCAGAAATGCAGGACCAACAATAACTGCCTGCCAACTTCACTTCATCGTGTACACTGCTGTGGAGGAGGAGGAAATGGTGCAGGCTTCAAGGGGGACATTTCCAAGCCATACCAAGGACTCTTCTGCAGACAATTTGTGGTGAATGGCATCTTTTATGATCAAATGCATTTGCAAGGACCCCAGAATTCAGGTAATCAAAGAGAGGGACCACTATTGGGTGGCCACGCTATTCGATACCAATACCAATGGCCGATCTACCGCACCCATCCCAGAGATAGCCCAAAATGCAGCACATCGAGGAAGTGCTGCCTAAGAACCTCTGTCACATTTTATGATTGTGGTAGGATCCCCTCTGATGACCAATGTGCTTTCAATCCTCTGACCCCTAAAAGGAGGAGCATAGGTGGTGGCCAGCCCTGGCTGCAGGCAGCACTCACAGAGGCAGTGGCGGACCCACAGAATTGTTTTTTTTTTTTCAAATTCTTTATTAACTGAATCAGTGTCATAAAATACAGTAACAGTGTAAAAGGTAAGTTTACATAGCCCACAGGTTCCACAATAAAACGGACTGTACCGTATTTGACATATAGAACCAGTTTTATAGAGTCAGATCAATACACAAACATTCTCGATAAAGTATTTTTGCTTCCTGCCATAATCTGCAAAGTTCCATAACTCTTTATAAGGACGCCCTGTAGCTAATTATGAACCTTGAAAGCAGCTGTGTCTCATTGTCAAAGGGAAAAGGCAGTAGAAAGGAAGATCCAGAAAAAGGAAAGAGGGAGTGGGTCCGGACAGGGTCCGACGTACCCTTCAGGGGTCCTAGTTTTCATCCTGAGAGAGTGGGTGAGAGAATTGCGCAGAGGTTCTATAGCACAACCACGGCCCCCAGGTGGCATTGAATTGAGCTTCTGTATTTTTCAGTGAGCCTGTTAGGTCCTCCAGCAAGTAGATGTCCTGGACTCTGGCAAGCCATAAGTGGACTGTGGGAGGCTGGGGGTCCCGCCACTTCAGGGGTATACAGGCTCTGGCAGCATTCACCAGATGGTGTGTTAAAGAGTGTCTATACCTGGAGATCGGACGTTGGGTCAGATGGATTAGGCATGCCGCTGGGTCTCCCTGAGGTCTGCCCCTGTCAGGGTCTCAACTATCCCTAGGACCCGCTCCCAAAAGGGTTGTATCCCGGGGCAAGTCCAGAATACATGCAACAATGTACCCGATGCCCTCCCACATCTCTATCACATATCCGGAATCAAGCTATTCTTTTTATGGAGCAACCATGGGACCCTATACCAGCGCGTCAGGATCTTGTATCCCGACTCTTGGTATCTGTTTGCTAGAGAGACTTTGAAGCTCATACTCAAGACAGTGTCTGTTTGTTGGTCTGTGAAAGTACACTGTAGTCCTGTTTCCCAGTGTTTTAGGAATTGTAACGGTGCGTCACCAGTTGGGTCTTGTAGCAATTTGTAGAGTTGGGACAATACATGGCGGGCAGGTAGGCTACTTAAAAATAACTGTTCGAAAACTGTCAGTGGTCAGTTCAGGCAGCTCTGAGGAAATGTTGCAGTGAAAGGGAGCTCCGGGGGGGCGGGGATTCCGTGAGGGATTGAATGGATGAAAGTGACAGCCAGGACCGTCGAAAGTCCAGCAAATTAAATTTGGAAGGTCCGGGGGAGTGTGGGGATTCAGTGGTCTGTCCAGGGGGTCAGTGGTCTGTCCAGGCAGGTCGCAGTCGCGACAGCTCTGAGAAAATGTTGCAGTGAAAGGGAGCTCCGGGGGGGTGGGGGGGTCCGTTCCATGAGGGATTGTATGGATGAAAGTGACAGCCAGGACCCTCACTAAGGAGGGCACGGCGCATGCGACCGTTATCAGATCCCGGGGAGAAATCAGGGTCCCCGAGGACAGGTGTCAGAGGCGAGGGGGCCGGGGACAAGTTGGAGGCCCCTAATACCTTATGTGACACTCTCAGGGTCGTAGGCACCAGTGGGTGAGATTGGACCTCCATGGGTAGGGGCGACGATAGCCACGGGAGACCCTTGATCGGGAGGTGGAACACACTCTGTTCCATCGACACCCATCTCTTGTCCTCCCGACGGAGGCACCAATCGAGGAGTCTAGACAGGTGTATGGCAGAATAATAGATAGAGATGTCCGGCAGTCCCACTCCCCCTCTAGCCCTGGGAATGGAAAGGATATGTCTGCTTAGCCTGGGGGTCTTGCCCGCCCATATGAATTAAATTATTTCACCATGTAGTGTCCTTAAAAAATGAGAGGGTAAACTGATGGGGAGGGCTTGCATAGGGTATAAGACTCTCGGCAATACATTCATTTTTACTGCAGCACAGCGGCCAAGCCAGGTGATGTGAAGGGGACGCCCGGCCTTGAGGTCAAGAGCAATTTTCTTCAGAAGGGGGAGAAAGTTAATGGTTCAGATACTATCCAGGTCCCTGGGGATAAACGTGGACCCACAGAATTTTTAACAACATTCTTTCACCAGGGAGGAATTGTGGCTTTTATGGACATAAAGGAAGCATACCTGCAAGTGTCCTGCTTTCCAGCCACTGTTTCTAATAGTTTGCTATTTGATCCCTACACTACCAGTTCACTGCCCTGTCCCTTGGCCTCTTGTCTGGACCTTGGGTGTTCACCAAAGTGTGAGCCCCAGTATTATACATGCTGTGCTCTTTTGGCATCCTCATCGTGGGATACTTGGATGACCTCATGTTGAGGAAACAGTTGTGTGGGCTCTGTCAGACAATGTTGCTTTCACTTTCCAGATGTTACAGCAGTTTGGGTGGATTCTGAACCTTATGAAATCATTACTGAATAAAATATAATGGAGCTCAACCATTGGGACTTTTCAGGTGATACACAATAACTAAGGTATTGATATAAGCTAATGCTATTTTATTAAAAATGATTGTGCAAAACATTTGTAAACATTGAATCTATATCAATAATACAAGCTTGCACAAATTGTGAGAGATTCAGTAAATCCCATACAAATAATCCTTTAAAATATCATTGAACATATAGTTGTAGTAATTAAATTATTTAAATAACCACTGCCTGGTGTTCTCGCCCCTAACTTTTACCAATGTGAAAACTATGATCATGTTGTATGTTTGTAATACAACTGCTGTTCCCCCAAAGCTGAACCGTATCCTATGAGTCAGGGACGAGGACACCAAGTGACATTAATGTGTTTCACAGAACAGGGTGTCGGCTTCTTCAGGAAATCTGGTGGGTATGTATAATAGGCAGCAAGTTGAGCTAGCAAAATACAGTAAAATAGGGTTAAAGTCATGTGTAATGTTTCAAAATCCAGTTAAATAGATTTTCAAATTGTAACAAAATCTGTAGTCAGTGTGTAGTGATCTCAGAGAAGAACAAAGCCAATAACATATTAAGCTTATAGATGTGGCTGGAAATCCTAGGCTCCAACGTATCCTATGGAGGGCATTCCTACCACAGCAGTTTCCAAAAGGCCACATTTATAAGCCTAATTTGGAGTTGGCTTTGTTTTCCCCTGAGATAACTACACACGGACTACCGATTTTGTTAGTTTGAAAATCTGTTCAAGTGAAGCTCCAATTCCAAACCAGAGTATTATTTTCACAGAAGAAAATTTGAGTCCTACAGTACAGTTGTCACCCAACTCTCCGCTATTGCATGAGAGTCTTGGTCCATGGTAGCTTCCTATGAGGCTCATTTGCCCAGTTCCACTTCAGACCTCTACAATGCAACATTGTTTCAAAGTCCTAGACAGACTGATGCATCTGGTCATTGGAAGAATCTCCTCTCTTGGTCAGCATCCTGGAGCTTCTGGCAATTTGGCCTGTCTGTGCAACGTTTGAACATCCTACTGGAGGGTCACCCGATCCAGATTCTGCATGGCAATACCACAGTTATGGTATAAATCAACCATCAGGGAAGAACCGGATGTCATGCTATGGCAAGAGAGTTGGATTGAATCTGTCCTGGGCAGAACGTCATATTTCAGTTTTGCCTACAAACCAAGCGTAGACAATTTGCAGGCAGACTTTCTCACCTGGCAGCATCCTGGAGGTGTTCCAAGACCTGTCACAGTCGGGGAAAGCTGCATATGTGTACTTTCTGTCTTCCGGGTTCACTAACAAACTGCATAGGCTTGTCTCCAGGTACATGGATCATCTAGCGGGCGCTTTCTTAACTCCATAGTTTTAGTAGACTCTGAGCACTCTGGTGATTGCTCTGGACTAGCACATGCAGATGTAGTACACCAACCTGGTAAGAATCCTGGCAGATGTCCTGTGGGCTTTGCCAGATCATCCGGATGTTTTGTCCCAAGGACCAGTTTAGCCTTCTACTTCAGTCACTGGCTTTAATGACAGGATTATTAAAGCCCAAGTTCTGAATGATGGGAGCAACTCTAAATCTGTGATTCCCACAGTGCTTATAGCTAGGCTACTACCCACAAGGTCTATGACCAGCATTTGGCTCTTAGTACTATCAAGGGTCAGGCTTCTGCCTCTTTCTATCCTTTTTCAAGGACCATTGGCCTCTCAATCCTTGATTAAGACATTTTGTACAAGGGGTCTCAAATGTAGCTCCCCCTGTTTATTTACTTGTAACTCTAGGGGGTATGAATCTTGTTTTCTCCATGCTTAGGAAACCTGCTGTTAAAACCTCTCAGAGACATTCCTCTCTCTACACTCACTTACAAGGGGGTATTCTTTGTAGCTATCACCTATTATCTAAACGGGTAGCTTTTTCCTGAAAAGTAACCTTTTCTGGTTTTGCATAGAGACAATGTGGTTTTGAAGCCCAAGACTTCCTTCTTGCCTAAGGTAGTTTCTGTCTTTCACCCCAACCAAGACATCATTCTTCTGTCCCTATCAAGTTCCAGTTTACCAAAAGAAAATTTCCCTCTATAGTCTGAATTTGGTCTGGGCTGTGACAGTCTCTCTCTCAGCTACTGTTTCTTTTAAGAAGACTGATTCTATTTTTGTCATCCCGGATTGATCCCATGCAGGATGCTTCTTGTTTCACCATTTCACCATTTCTAGGTGGGGCAGGCAGACCATATCCAAACCTTTGCGCTGAGGGATCAGGTTGATCCTTTTCTTGTCATTGCAATCTCTACTAGATCTGTCCACGCTTCATGGACTTTTCCGGATTAAACAAATGTTTCTTAAATTTTCAAAGCTGCCACCTAGTCCATTGTTCACACATTCTCATACCATATAGACTTTTCAGCTTTATCTGATGCCAGGTTTGGTCCTTCATGTGGCTCTTTGCACTACAGGCAGTACCCAGTTCTCTGCTGTCTTTTTGGGCTTGTTGGGGTTTGCTGGCTGTGTTTGCCACTCTTTAGTTAAAATGCTCTTGGACATCTCAATGATTGAAAGACAGCCTTTGACCCTAAATGGATTAGAAAGAAAAAAACATTTTTGTACTCACTGTAAAATCGTTTTCTTGGAATCCATTGAGGCACATAGGTCCCACCTTCTGTATCTACAATCCTGCTCTTGGACTGCTGTGCTGCAAAACTGAAGCATGCTGGTAGTAGGAGAGGTGATACTGGGCTGTCCTACAGTTTTCTGTGTAAAATGTTGTGTCAAATCCCACCGTAGCGGCAGTATAACCTGAAAGTGAAATACTTCCTGTGTCCCTCAATGGACTCCAAAAAAATTGATTTTTTTGGTGAGTATAAAAATACTATTATGTAAATGGGCAGGAAAAGCATAGGTGCTGCTGGGAGGTGGGGAGATTATCTAGAGGTAGAATAATAGTGGTTTTAACAGAATTTTAAATTTTCTGATGGCTTGTTAAATCCATTAATTGCTGGCACGTACAGGCATGAGGTCATCACCTGATCAGTTCGAAAATGACTGCAGTCAAATTTATTTACCAAACACTCTTGTGAATAAAGCTTAGGTAGCAGGAAACTTTATGCAGTTAAAAACGAATCCATTCCCTAGAACCAGCTTGTATTGGACCACAGGTCATATAACACATTTACTAAATCCAGAGACAGGAATTACTCGGGGTCTATGGATTCGTTTTTCTTGAGATAATTTACTTTTTCAGAATAATTCTGATTGTATCCTTTATCTATGATTTTTTCACAGATTACACTTGAAAGTGTTTTGAACTTGGTTCTACCAGAGAATAAGGAGAACAGTCGTTTGTATACACTAGAGGAGCTGAAGGAACTGCTTAACAAACTTATGCTTATGTCAAGCAAGGGAGAACAAGGCAACATGGAAGTTGACAAGTTTTCTGAGGTAAAGACTATATGGATTGATATTAGCTGAGTGAAATACTTGAGCATTCTGATTTAATGGAATGTACAGTGCTGCCCATTCATTTAGGACTGCGAGAGCCTGTGGAAATGTTACTTTGACTTCTGAAGAAAATGAGATCATGAAGGAAAAAGCTAAATATACACAGTAACATAGTACTTGAAGTGAACCTGTTCCCAGACTATTTACACTATAGTATTTAGATATTCTAAACAAGCAGTAAAAGCACTTTAAAATGATATTGAAGTCAAAAAGGTTTTAATTTATTTTAAATGCTGATTAAATCACCTACCGTGGATGCTGCTCCTTGATGTTTTAAAGTTTTGGTTACTACAGAATAAGTTGGTCCCACGCCCTGCCCTGATATCTTTTTTGGGGTGGCTCCTTTCCCTTGCAAGGGTCCTGTGGAGCCACCTTTGTATGTCCTAGTAAACTTTGTGTGTCTTTTCAAACACACAGGCACAGCAAGGCAAGACACTCCCTGATCCCTGCTCCCGACTCCTCACTTCACCCTTCTCTGTGCTAGTAAATGGACAGCTGCGGGAGACTGAAGTTAAATGAAACTGAGCTTGGAGAGTTGGAGCTTTCTTTTCTGAAACACGTTTATTATAAGTGCTTGGGCAAAAATGTATAGAAATACTTTCCTGAACAATGTATATTTGTTTGATCTGGATTTATTATTGAAAGGAAAGGTTGAGAGTTTAATACAACTTTTAATTTATCACAAACCCTCATTCACCTCTGTAGCTATAGACATTGTGGAGAAATGCATGCCCAAAGTTCACAACATAGGTTATCTCCTTTCCTATTACTTTAAATTGCTTTAGGCTCTTGGCAGTCGGCTAGCCTACTAATGTAAGCACCAGAGGGTACTGTAACCTTATAGAATGTGAAACCAGACTTCATAATCTTTGCTGTGATCTTTGAGAATGATTTATTTCAGAGTATGTGCAGCTAGAGAGGTAAGGGATTAATTGTTTTAAAGCACTTTTGCTGCTTGTTAATAATATGTAAACATTTTAATGCCAATAGTTTGATGCACATTATAGTGCACTGAGCTTGGTAAAAAAAACCTGCTATAAAATGGCCACAAAGTAATTTTCATCTTTGCTTCATGGGTCCTCTCTCATTTGCTACTCTTCATCAAATGTGTCCACTGCTCTTTATTCTCTGAATGACTCATTACATAGTGATCACCTCCTGCTGTCTTGGTTTAGTATTGAATAATTTTATTTAGTTCTCCATGAGCATTAAAACAAATAGCTATGATTTAGTGTGTAACAGGTGTGTGGCTGCTTCCTGTATTAACAGTAAGGTTTTAAGTAATAAAGTTCTGTTATATCCAGTTCAACCAAAATGGCAGCAGAAGTACACAGACACATGCTTGCACTTGACAAAAGCACATGAGAGCAGTAGCTGTCACCATGTGTTCCAATGGAGACTTACAGTGTCTTATAATTATGACTTATAAGACACGTTTGCAACCCCCGGCGAAACTCCATACATGCATGAAACGGAGATTTAAATATGGTAGCATTCTGGTAAATACAATTAAGTTCTGAATTAGAAAACATATATTATTTAAATATTGTTTTAATAAAAAGATGTTTATAGGCAAGATAGTATAAACACAGACAACAATAGGAACAGTAAAATAAATTGCAATAAAAGTGAAAACTACAGGGTTTTCCTCATCCTTGGGTTTTAATACTATCTCATCTGATGTAGCACAGTTGCAGTCCTCAAATATGACTCAGCATTTGTGCATAGTTTGATGGAATATGGAGATCTCCAGCTGCCTATTGCAGCAGCTTTTTGTGGCCCTTCTAGAGGATGTCACTGAGCCAGCCTTCCACCCAATCAGAAGAACCCATGGTTGTGAGACAGGAGGGCTGAAGTTCTTTATGATATTTCAGCAGGCCCTCCCATGATGTCAGTTTCGTACATGCAGTCAATTTTTTTTTACCTCATGTTACTGCCTGATATATTATTGTGCAGAATAAAACTACCATTTTAAAGAGACTAAGTTTTTTATACTGTACATCACACACAAGATGGAATGTGTCTTATCTGCCTCTTGCACTTGATAGCATAGTCAAGAGTGGTACCAACATGATGGTTATTCTCTTTTGCAGTTGTATAGCCACTTGTTATTAAGGTAAATTTGGCCCCCAGGAGTTAGGAAATATGACTGATTTTGGCTAACTGAAAAGTCTGACCAAGGTGCTTTCTGGTAACGTGACACCAGATGTCAGTGAGCATTCCTGCTGAATGGCTTTATGACTGATAAGTGTTAAGAAGGGTATAAACGGCAGAATTTTTGTACGAAAGAAGTAGTTTTTAGAATGTTCGTTTGAATATGTATTAATTAGTATGGTGCGATTGACAGACGAAAACATAAATGTTCCCAAAAAATTTCAAAGTAGCATGTTGGAAAATGTTTCCCGACCAAACAAATTTTTTACAGTGAATGTGGTTTTTCCTTTGTAAACTGCATTCATTCCAAAATAGAATGTTAAATAAAAACAAACATTAAACGAAATTTCAAATGACAATCAGCAAGTTTCTGCTGGCAGGATTGACAGGATTTGTCATATGAATGTTCATGCAAAAATGTACCCATGTATACCCTACTTTTAACGGCACTGTTAGGAAGGCTTAATAGAAGTCCTTTGAGGGCCCATTCGCATCAGAAGCGTTGGGACTGCACTGGCTGCTGTTTATAGCGCAACAACAATGCAGAGGCAGTTTGCCTTGTATTAAATGGGCAGCGTTCACACTGAGGTGTGCATAAAAAAAATATGACATTCTAATTCCCATCTTGCCCTTCCTCTTCCATTTTTCTTTGCCTGAGTTAGTTTCTCTTAATATGGGTTTCAGTTTGCTCTAGGAATAATTATTATAATAAAATACTGTTTTTTGGGTGTTTTTTTTTTTTTATTTAATTTTTTTTTTTTTTC